CCTCTCCTCCTCCTCCTCCTCCTCCTTCTCCTCCTCCTCCTCCTCCTCCTCCTCCCTCCCCCTCCGCCCGACGTGGGAATTCACAAATCGCTGTGCCTGTCGATGGTCTGGCACGGGAGAGCCTGGCGGGGGTCGCGGACGGCGACGGCGCGAGGCGAGCCGCCGAGGGCGCCGCCTGCTCAGGGGTCGTGGCGATGGCGTCAATCTGCCACAACGCTGGCCACGGCCGACCAGTGACCGCGCGCACGATCGGGCGATTCCACCTGGCAGCGCGTCGGAGGTCAGCGGCCGCCTCTCGCCACGACGTCAGCGCGACCGTGGCTGCGCTCACCAGCGCGGCTGAGCACCACAGGGGGGCCGACGGGATGGACGGCCCGCCGACCTCGGGGAGGGGGAGGGGGGGACTGTTTGTGCCTGATCTGTTTACCAATAATTCGCCCCAGTCGGGAGACGCCCTCCAGGCAAAGCGCCACCGCCCCGCACTCGGAGCTGACGCCCCGGATGCGACGCGGCCCCGCCCTGCCCTATAGGTACGCCACTCTCCCCGCGGGCAGCCCCACGTCAGCCTTATTAAAGCCAGGCTGAAAATATCGGGAGGCGAGTAAGGGCCTCGCTCACTCGCATCTCGCGCACAACAAGGTCGCCCTCGGCGCCACCTCGCGACGACGGAGGAAAAGACCTCGCCGAATGCGGGAGAGATTTTCCGCGCCCTTCCTCGTCGGTCCCGGGCGCGCGCAGACCCTTTGCCTCGGGTCGCCTCCTGTGGTGCAACGCTAGCACCACTGGCAAACAATCACCACGAACTCTGGTCAGAACGAGAGCTGGTGGGATCCGCCAAACTACTCGGCTACCCCGCCCTCGTCGGCAAGACACGGCACAACGCGACCTCCATCAACTGCCTGCGCCAGGCTCCCTGTTGGAATCGGCCTTCGGCACTCCGTGCTACACATGCGCAGCAAGCAGCTGGTGCGAGCGAACCATGCGGTGGCAGCGCGCGCACGTCCAGCGCTCGCGGCAATGTCGCAACTCATGATCGGACCGCTGGACTCCGAGGCGGGCTGCTGGTGCGCGGGCTGGCGCGCGGGCTGGGCGGCGCCAGCTCCTCGTCGGAGCGCGGCGTGGTCGAGTAGGGGAGGACGGAAGAAATGGAGGAGGAGGAGGAGGAGGAGGAGGACGAGGAGGAGGAACGAGGAAGAGGAGAATAACGAGCCTTAGGACCAGGGGAGGATGTTCCACACCTGAGCCATTTCAGACAAGGTGCTGAAGTGGAGAGGGTCTTACATTCGACATTCCATCCTAATGTGCTGCTGCTCTTGAGCGGTGGCTGGATTTGCCGCAGGCCGCTGGATAATTTTGGCACGCAGCCATCGGAGGCCTGCTCGAGGCCCAGCGACAACAAGAAGCCGGCGCTGCTACAGAACGAGCGACAGCCTAGCGAACCGCATAGAGCCCCTCGATCGCACGCTCCGCATCTGCGCTCAGCCGAGTGGCTCCAATTCCGGCGTAGAGCCCATCTTAGGGGAACAACACATTGCATAAACATAAAAACTCGGAAGTCTGCGCGGATTTCTTGGATCCGCGCTGCACCCCCTCCCTGGCGCGCGGAGCGCGCCAGGGGCGGCGCTGGAGGCGCCGCCAGGGGGCCCCAGCGCCGATCCGAGAAATCCGCGCAGACCTCCGAATTTTCATGTTTATGCCACTTTTTGTTCCCCTACATCTGGAGGTGGAGGTGCGCCATCCAAGGGGGCCCAGCGTTGCTGCCTGGCATCCCACGCGCTCCACCTGCCCTTCGTGGCCTCGTCCCGGAGAGCCCACGGCGGCCCGGCGTCGTCGTAGAAGTAGAGCCGGCACCGGGCCGGGTCCTCCCGACCAGCCACAACTGGGGGAGCTGTGGTCCTTACCACCCTGGGGGAACCCATCGAATCGACGATCTCTGGAGAGGGGCGTCGAAATCGATGGGTCCCCCATCGAATCGACGATCTCTCGAGAGGGGCGTCGAAATCGATGGGTCCCCCCGGGGGGTCAGGGCCACAGCTCCCCCAGTTGTGGCTGGCCTGTCCTCACCGCCGGCGCCGAAGCGGTCGGCGTACCACTGGCAGGCCCAGCCAGTGCCGCCGCCGACATCCAGCAGAGGTGTCTCGCCTGGGCAGCGCGGAGGCTGCGAGGCGGGGACTTCTCAGCAGCCACCGCCTGACCGATCGACCTTCGGGGGCCAGGAGGAGGAGGAGGAGGAGGAGGAGGAGGAGGAGGAGGAGGAGGAGGAGGAGGGGGAGGAGGAGGAATGGGAGGAGGAGGAGGGGGGAAGGAGGAAGGAGGAGGAGAGGAGGAGGAGGAGGAGGTGGCGGTGGATGTGGGCACGTCTGCCCCCCCGAGGCCCGACCAGATCCAGCTCCACAGCCTGCCGAGGTCCCCGAAGACCGATCCCCAGGGCGGTGGTCACGGATAGCTCCCCCGTCTTTCAGGGGGACGTAAGACCTGGGTACAGGGGACTCGGAAATCCCCGACGAGGTCGTCAAAAAAATGACGAGGCCGAGCCTGCATTTTGACGAGGCCTCCCGCTGCAGACATCCCACGAAACTCCTCCTCGTCAAAATCCGAGGCGCGGTCGTCAAAAAACGATGGCGAACCCGAGTCCTGGCAAACCCGGGTCTTACGGTCCCTCGAGTCTTGCGCAACGGAACACGGCGACCTACACGATCGATGGCTCACGCAGGCCGCCAGCACGGCACACCACGTGGAGAGAACGGGGAGGGACCACGGTGACACGCGCGTCGTCCTTCAAGCCAGACGAGCTACTCCTCCAGGAGGTCTGTCAACCTCCGAGACAGGGTGGGCCAACTCAAGAGGGGGGGGAGGCCACGTTCGACCCGGAATCGGTGATACACCGCAGATGGATTGGTGACCGGCTGAGGCTCTCGACACCGAAGCCGCGGAGGAAGAGGGCGAGGTGGAGGAGGAGGAGGAGGAGGAGGAGGAGGAAGAGGAAAGAGGAGAGAAGGGGGAGGAGGAGGAGGAGAGGAGGAGGAGGAGGAGGAGGAGGAGGAGGAGGAGGAGGAGGAGGAGGAGGAGGAGGAGGAAGAGGTGGAGGAGGGAGGAGGAGGAGGAGGAGGACGAAAACGAGGGCGAGGAGGAGAATGAGCAGGAGGAAGAGGAGGAGGAGGAGGAGGAGGAGGAGGAGGAGGAGAGGAGGAGGAGGAGGAGGGGAGGAGGAGGAGGAGGGAGGAGGAGGAGGAGGAGGAGGAGGAGGAGGAGGAGGAGGAGGAGGAGGAGGAGGAAGCGACGAAGACGCCGGGCGACCTCGAACCTCGAGGCCCCCTGGCGGTCCCCCCCCTGGCGCGGCCCCCGGGAGAGGGGAGAAGGGCACTCGCGCGCTGCCTCCCGCGCGGAAGCTCGTGCAGGGGCAGGGAGCCAGGGGGGGAGCGCCCCTGGCGCTCCCCCCCGTGGCGCTGCTCCCCTGAGCGAGAGGGGAGCGCTGCCCCTGCGCGGAAGCTTCTGCGTGCGGGTGTCCGCCCGGTCGGCCCCCTGCAAAGCAGAACGGGCCGTCGCCTGGCGCCACCGCCTCGCGCCCCGTGAACTGGTCGGCCCCCTTCGCCAGGCGCCAGCCGACAGCATAGACGGCACCAGCTCGGCGCACCTGCAGGAAGTTGCGCCTGCCAGCGGCGCGCGCAAACGTGAGGGGGGCGGCCTTCGTAAGGAGGCAGGGGGCTTCTGAGAACGGGCCGCTTGCTTCTGAGGTGGCTTCCTGCTATTTCCCCGGGCAACCACGGGTGACACAACCACATCGCGAATCAAAAGGTCGCTAGGCACACCGGGAACACCGCACAAGACGACCTACAAAAGGCAAACTCATGCTATGAACCGTGGCCTGAAAAATTGAGGGGGCGTCCTACTATGAGGGTCAACGCTAGTGGGTGACCGGCGGCTCGGGGGGGGGAACATCGACAACCTGGAATCGGCGATACAGCGCCGAGAGATCGGCAATAGGCCCCCGGAAAGCGGCTCCACACGCTCCCGGGCGGGGTGGGCTAGCGGGCCCACAGCGGCGATGAGTGGGCGGCTGGGGGCCGATGCACTCCCCCCCTGAGCCTGTCCCCCTTTCCCCAACGAACGAACGCACGAACGAACCCCCACAATAAATGATTCTGTGAGACACCCCTTTCCCCAACGATACCTCTGATTCTGAAGGGGCTTCCTGGAAGGACTGCTTCACAGCGTGACTAAGGCCTTGCTTGAACGCCCCCCGTTCTGCGCGCGCCGACGCCTGGCCGACATCGCTGCTGCCTTGGCCTCCCAGCCATCCGCTCGCTGGCTGCCCAGCACTCGGCGCTCACCGGCGACGCGGAAAGCTCTGCTCACGGCAGGGTCGTCGAGGAGGTCGGCCTCGACATCAAGCATTTTGCCAACTTCTCCAGATTTCGCAGCCTCGCTCGCCCACTCTCGGTCACCAGGCCCCAGCAGGTGGACAGCGTCATGGTCTGCAGCAATGGCGTGGCGCCCGAACAGGGAGTCCGCTCCATCACAAGCGCCGCTCAACAGCATGGGCCGGGGCAAAGTGGAGAGATTCAGTGTGCCATCAATGATCTCTCTTGCCAAAGTTGGCGAAGGGAACGCTCCAGACTGTGCGCCAAGACCAAGCCATCCTCGCAAGCTCCGCCAGGCCCCAGCGCCGCACAACATGTCAACTGTGACATGGCAAACGGGCGAAGAAGAAAATCGGCCGGCCCCCCTAAAGTGGGAAGGCTTGAGCCGTGAAGGCTGCGGAGAAACGCGTTGTGCATCATCCTTATAAGGACCCGGCATGGACAATGCAGCGCTTCACAAGCGAGCCTCACGCACCCAGTCATGGTCTCCGCCTCTTCCTCCTCATCGCTCCTCTCGCTCCTTCTTCCGAATCATCGCGCATTTCCTCCTCCACCTCCTCCTCCTCCTCCTGCTCCTCGGCCTCCTCCTTTTTTTCTCCGTCTCCTCCTCAATCCTCCTCTATCCTCCTGTGGACTACGTCACAGCGCCCTCCGCGATCACATTGGGCACTCCTGGCTCGTTTTCTGGCCCGGAGAGAGGCTCCAGAGAGTACCGCCCCCATGGCCTCCAAGTCTGTGAAGACCTGCTGCGAGAGGCGGAAGAGAGGGGGAGAAGGAAGGAGAAGGAGAGGGGAGGAAGAGGAGGGGAGGAGAAGAAAGGGGAGAAGGGGAGGGACCAGAGGGGGGAAGGAGGGGAGAAGAAGAGGGAGGAGAGAAGGAGGAAGAGGTGGATTAGGAGTGGGAGGAAAGCAGGAGGAAGGAGCATGGGAAGGAGGCAGAAGAAGAGGGAGATAGGAGAAAGAGAGCTGTGTCAGCCCCTCCTGTCTCTCGAAGGCCAGAGAGCTCAGCAACCTCCCGCCCGAAGGTTGTAAAATTACGCCTCGGAGGTGCTCTGGCAAACGTCGCGTGAAGACCCCTCCCCCCCCGCGCCCGAAAGAGCGCCCAAGTCGACTCCAAGAACCCTGCAGGGTGCCTCCGAGGACCCCGAGGAGCCCAGCAACGGAGGGCCCCGGGCAAGTCACTCAAACATTTCATCTGTGTGTGCAACAGTGTGTGTGTGTGTGTGTGTGTGTGTGTGTGTGTGTGTGTGTGTGTGTGTGTGTGTGTGTGTGTGTGTGTGTGTGTGTGTGTGTGTGTGTGTGTGTGTGTGTGTGTGTGTGTGTGTGTGTGTGTGTGTGTGTGTGTGTGTGTGTGTGTGTGTGTGTGTGTGTGTGTGGCGTTTTACACGCACCCAAACTAGGCCTCGAGGCTCTCTGGGCGGGCCTGCCACCTGCGCAACCGTCGCCTCTGTCGTGGGCTCCCGGGAGGCCCCGCGGTCCGGCGTCCTACGAGCATCCAGGCTGGATCCCCGCGGCTCTCTGGGGAGCGGTCACCCGCGAAACTGTCGCCACCGTCGTAGGATCCTGGGAGGCCCCGCGGAGCGGCGACCTACGCGCATCCAGACTGGGCCTGACGGCTCCCGGGGGGGGGGCTGCCACCTGCGCAACTGTCACCATTCATTGTCGTCGGCTCCTGGGAGGTCCCGCGGAGTGGTGTATTGCGCACATCCAGACTCGACCCCGCGGCTCCTTGGGAGGCTGTCACCTGCGCAACTGTCGCAACCTTCGTGGGCTCCTGGGAGGTCCAGCGGGGCCCAGTTGTACGCATACACAGGCGAGGCATCGCGGCTCCCTGGGACACGCGCACCCAATCGAGACCTCTTTTGCCAAGCGTTCAAGGATACCGCAGAACCCTAAGTATGTTGTTTTGTGTGTGTGGGTGTGCGTCTTGACTTGGCACTATTACGAGTGTGTTTAGATCTAGGCCTCCTAGATGGGGTCCGAATAGATGGGGTCGGTGGATCGCGCCGTATCGCCGATGCATCGCCGATGCGGCTTGATGCGGAGGCCGATTTCCTGTACGCCGACGTCGCCGATGCATCGCCGACGTCGCCGTTGCAACGTCGATGCTGCATCGACGATGCATCGACGATGCGGCGCGATCCTCCGACCCCATCAGCTCGGACCCCACTTGGGAGGCCTCTATTAGAAGGCGTCGGGCTACGTTTCGGGCAATCTATGCTTCGAATTGAGGGGGGGGGTGGGCATCCGTGACGAATCGACGTTGGGCGCCCGAGTTATCCGGGGTAACTCGGGTCCGGGGTAACTCGGGTTTGGATTCCCGACAAAACGAACCCGAGTTAGCCCTGACCCGAGTTACCCCTGATGATTCTGGGGCTCTGGACGCCCGAATTATCCGGGGTAACTCGGGTCCGGGGTAAATCGGGTTCGGAATCCGGAAAAACGAACCCGAGTTATCCCTGACCCGAGTTACCCCTGATGATTTTGGGGCTCTGGACGCCCGAATTATCCGGGGCAACTCGGGTCCGGGATAAATCGGGTTCGGAATCCGGAAAAACGAACCCGAGTTAGCCCTGACCCGAGTTACCTCCGTGACGAACTGAGGGGGGGGGCCTCCGTGACGAGCCTCCTCCTCCTCTGCCTCCTCCTCCTCCTCCTCCTCCTCCTCCTCCTCCTCCTCCTCCTCCTGCAGGCGGATTTGGGAGGAGTGTGTGACGAATCGACGATGGCTTTGCGGCCACAGCAGGGCAGCCTGGGCCCTCTCCAGGTCCGCCTCGGGGGCTCCGGGCCTGCACGCGAGGATCGGCCAGCGTGGGAGAAGCCTGACGAGGAGGAGGAGGAGGAGGGAGGAGGAGGAGGAGGAGGAGGAGGAGGAGAAGGAGGAGGAGGAGGAGAAGGAGGAGGAGGAGGAGGAGAAGGAGGAGAGGAGGAGGAGGGGAGAAGGAGGAGGAGGAGGAGGAGGAGAAGGAGAAGGAGGAGGAGGAGGAGGAGGAGGAGGAGGAGGAGGAGGGAGGGGACAAGGAGTTTGTCGATGATGCCGCTGATGAATGATGACCGACGGTTTGAACTGGGTGGACTGGGCCGCCTGCTTCCTCATCGGAACACAACTTGTGCTCGCATCCGGAGGGCTTCGGGAGGGGGCAAGGCGGGGAGGGGGCAGAGAGGAAAGAAGAAAGAGATTGAGAGGCCTCCGCTCCCGCTGGGAGTTGCATTTCTTGGGCTCCTCTGCTGCACTTACGTGCTGCCATTCGTATGCTGTCAGGCGTTCTGCCATGCCTCATCGCAAGATTGTGACGGGGGGAAGGGGCAGACTGGCACTGGGAGAAGGACGAAGACGAAGCGGAGGAGGGGAGGAGGATGTGCGGGAGCAAGGATGTGTGTTTGATTCTGCTGCTGGTCAATCACCGACGGCCTGAACGAGGAGGGAAGGAGGAGGACGACGACGCGGGCCCGCACGGCACACAGCGGGGACGTGACCGAAAAGTGGAAGGGTAGAAGAGGTCGAGAAGAAGCGAGGAGGGAGGAGGACGGAGAGCATGGGGCCGCGCGACGACCGCGAGGATGATCCACGAGAAGACGGCAGCGGCGCGAATTTCTGCAACGACCGCCGCCTACACTGGCAGCCACTCGCACATGCGCGTCATCGCCTGAGATTTCTGGAACATCGTGGACAGGTAGGTGTACCCCCGTCTGCTCCCAAGGCAACTGCCGCACTGGCCCCCCTTCTTGAACTCGGGGTCCGCGTAGCCGACCATGCCTTAGAATAACTCCTCATGGCGCAAAAGAAAAGCGTCCTGAGCGGAACTGGTCCTGGAGCCCGGGGCCTCCCCTCAGGACCAGCTTTTCAGCAAATCCCAGGGCCCGTGAACGGCCCAGGGAGGTCAAGACGGTGGAAAGCCTCAAGACCCGTTCTCCTCGGAGCCCATGTGCCTCATGGGGACTTTGGCATGGGGGAAAAGGGTCCCGAGGGCAATGAATCCTGGACCCCAGAGCATTCCCCAGGGCACGCTCTTCCACCCTGAGTCGTTGCCTGACAGCCCCAGGGCCCCCGAAGGGTTCCCAGAGGCTGGAAGTGGCACACAAACCCCAGTGCCATTTTCACGCAGGACCCCTCAGTTCAGCATGGTCAGACCTACGGCGAGGGCATTAGCTTTAGATAGGGCATCCAGGGTATGCAAGCTGGTGGAACGCGAATTGAGGCTTGTCATGGACATCACCGCCGCCCTCATCGGAGACAGAATCCTCCAGGGGCCGAACCCGACGGCCTGGGGCCGAACCCGACGGACTTGGAGCCGCAAAAATGACGGCCGCGACGCCCTCTCGCGAACCGAAAACGGCCAATTCGCTAATCGACGTGTCAGGGTAGGACATCTGTCCACCCCGATCCTCAGCGCCACCTACCAACGCCCCCGAGTTACGGCTGCTTGCCGCGAAGCCCGACGCGGATGGCATCAACTCCACCAAAGGAGGGGGGTTTGCGGGGCAGCGGAGCCAGGGCTACCCCACTGAGGTTGGGAATGGGTCCGACGATGCAGATCTCCCTCGTGAGATGAAGAAGCAAAGCCATACTGTGAGGGCATTGGATGAGGAACCACCAGATAAGAAATCCAGGGTCTGGAGGCGGGTGGGACTCGAATCGTGGATTGGCCACGGGTGACACGGCCGCCCTCATCAGAGAAGGAATCCTCCGGGTCTGAAGCCTCTTGAGCACATTCCTTCACCAACGCCCCCACCGTTCGCACAGACTTCGGGAACTCCGCGCGCACTTCTTGGATCGTGGCTCGACCCCCCTCCCTGGTGCGCGGAGGTCGCCAGGGGGCCCAGCGCCTATCCAAGAACTCTTCGCGGAGCTCCGAAAAGGTATGGTTACGCATGTGATCTTTTTCGATGATCTTCCTCGCGTCGATCCCCGCCACCTGATCTTTGAACGCCCGCCAGCGACGGGCAAGGAAAAGTAGGCATGATGTCCGACGGCGACTGTTGACCAAGCCCGGTGGTGGCCACTCTTGGGCCGTCGACACTTGGATTTAGATCGAAGCCTCCTGCCCCGAGTGGACAGGCACCGATGCCGGCCTTCTCGTCCATGTGATTTCCGAGCCCAGCCCGATCGCACCGATGATCCTGGACCCCGGATCCCGATCCGACCGGACCCCCCTTCCCCAGAGCGCAGGGCACCTCGCTGATCGCGAGGGCGCCGACCTGTGCTGTCCCGACCCACCTCTGGTCCGAGGAGGAGGGCTCGAGGATCGAGGATGAAGGGGGAGGAAGAGGGAGCGCGCGCTCGAGGATCTAGGAGGAAGGATCGGGGCTGGAGGGGGAGGGCTGAAGGATCGAGGGGGGATCGGGGATCGCCGATCGAGAAGCGTTCAATGATCGAGGAGGAGCTTCTGAAGGAGG